AAGACTCCCAAAGAGATGGAATGGCACAGTGGCAGCATTTCATTCTATTGTGCATGGGGTTGCTATGAGTTGGAACCAACTCAGTGGTACCTAAAAGCAAAAGGGCATATCCTTTAAGGATACCATACAAGATTCCTATATTCAATTTTTGTTATTATTTGCTGTTTTTCTCCTGAAGGGCAAATACAGTATAGAAGATTTGGAAATGTTTGCATAGTCCTTTGTTAGAAGTGGTGCTGAGTAATAACAATGGTCTAGTACATCTTTCCACTCTTAATACTCAGCCCCACTTCTAATAACAAAGGCGGCCAGCAGCTCCTTGGAAACCCTATGCAGGGTCGCTTTGAGTTAGAACCTACTGGAAGGCACTTAACAACAGCAGTACATCTTCCATTGTTTTGTAAAGAAAACTAGCCGTGTGACCCCTTCCTACCTATTGTATTCTGTTAGCTTTAACAATAGTATGTATAACCAACTCTTCTCACCAGGTAGTTTTTGTCCTCAGAAGAAAGCTAGGATTGGGAAGCCAAATGGAATGATTGGTTTGTTAATTCACTATTTTAGAAATAAGACCTACCTCCTCAATTGAACTGCATATTCCTAAGGGTTGTAATTACTTTTTATGCCTTACTGTAGTCCAGTGCTTAGCATACGCAGTACCTCACCTGTGTGTGTTCAATAATTATTTACATCCCAGGAGACTGTGATGTCAGAGGCATATTGAAGAGATGGCTGAAGAATTAATACAATTAACAGTGACGATTAAGATATTGGTTTTATGCTGACAAATCATCATTTAAAGAGTTGTTGTTGTGGGTTGTGAAGTGCTGACAAGTCGGTTCTGACCCATAGCGACCCTGTATATAGGGTTTCTGAGGAGCAGCTGGTGAGCTTGAACCGCCGACCTTGAAGCTCAAAGAGCTTTGCAGTCTGGCACATTAACCCACAGCTCCACACCAGGAGTTTTAAAGCATACACTGCATTTCTTTACCCCATAAATTATAACCCTGTGAAATACATAAAAGTTTTATATTTTTAAAGCGCCTTTGTTGTTGTTCAATGCCTTCATGTTGGTTTCAACCCATAGCGACCCTGTACAGGGCTTCCGAGGAGTGACTGATGGGCTTGAACCGCCGACCTTTCGGTTCAAACAACTTTGCAGTCCAGTGCATTAACCCACAGCGTCACACCAGGACTCCTTTAAAGTGCTTTAAAAGATATTTAATTTTTTAACAAGTGGAAAATAATGTTCTTTAAAAGACATTTATTTTTAATGGAAAATAATATTACCAAAAGAATATAATAATTTGCTCATATTCTTCAAAGAAGGAGATTGTTTATATAAAATAATATATATGCATCATTGAGTGCCAAAGTGCCAAAATGATGGGAATACATGGTCATAAACCAAAATTAGATTTGCTTCTAAACCCGTCCAGATGGTGTCTTAAGTCATGAATGATGCTGCGTGGGGTGAGGGAGGCGCCTCAGGTAGTCAGTGTTTTTGAAGGTGCATTTCCTTGCTGTGTGGTAGGCTCGAGTTAGTGGGCAGGACAGCCATTGAGACTGACAGTCCCCTGGACTTGGGCAGCTTCAGTGATGTGTACAGGAATGTGGTTGACTTGGATATTCTTCAGGCAGCCAAAAAATGACTTCCACACAGGCAGCTTCAGCGTCTTCAAATTGGCTGGAAGAGAAAGGAAAAGCCACTTGGTGGATAACACACTGCAAAATAAATGCTTCTCATATTTAAAAAAATAAAACAAGTTCTATTAGAAAGAGCTAACGGGACCCTGTCTTAGTCTGCCCAGTCATCTCCTCCTCTTTAAGGAGGCTTCCTAAGCACCGCCTGTAATGATAAATGAGCAACTAGGTTGTTTGTCTAGTTCTTCAAAGAAGATGCCACAACTCCTATGCTTCCTATGGGTCACGAAAGACCTATGAAATTAAACTGTTGGAGGGACATGAAACAGCGAAAGATAATAAAGCAAAATTCCAGCCTTGTGTTTGACTTGCACCACAGCCTGCCTGATACTGGTATTCTGGTCCCACAAAGCTTAATAACTCACTTTTCAAACTAAGTACCTGGAGAAGGGAGACCCAATTTTTCAGCTCCTTTCCTGGTCTCAGGCTTCCAGGTAAATGCAGTCTTACGAGATGCTGGTGAATTATAAGCTGGAGACTAGGGGAAGCAGCAATAATGTATACCTAGTCTCCTGGTGTGGTACTGTGGGCTAATGTGTCAGACTGTAAAAGTCGTTTGAACTGCAAGGTATGTGGTTCAAGCTCACCAGCTGCTCCTTGGAAACCCTATACAGGTTCACTTTGGATCAGAATCGACTTGACAGCACTTAACAGCAACAGTCCTGATGTGGCGCTGTGGGATAATGGCTGGGCTGCAAGGTGTGTTTAAACAACAAGGCCAGTGGTTCAAACCCACCAACCACTTTTCCAAAACCCTATACAGAGCTGCTATGAATCAGAACTGACTCGACGGCACTTAACAACAATAATATATTGAGCCCTGGTATGGCGCTGTAGGGTAAACACTAGACTGGTAACTACAAGGTGGGCAATTCAAACCCACCAACCACTCTCAGAAACCCTATACAGTATAGCTATGTTCTTGGAAACCCTATACAGGGTTGTGATGAGTTGGAAGTGACTTCACAGAACTCAGTAACAAAAATATTGCTGGCAATTGGGGTTTTCCAGTGTGAGGGCCAAGGGTTTCACCAGCCTCATCTCCTGGGCATCAAATGCTCTATAACAACCGGCAGACCAGGGCATCCCATTGATTGGGTTCAGGTGAAAATGTTAAGGGCCGACATGGGGAAAAGTGAAATGCAGAAGTAAAGAAAAGCGTTACCTGGGACATTCCCGATGTGTAGTGGCTCTTGAGTGCTGCCAGGTGGGAAGGTGAGTTGTCCAGCTGTGTAGTTATTGTCAGTGTCTAGTCCCAGATGTAGGATGTGTTGCTTTATGGTGACTGTGAAGAAAGATTAAGGTAAGTCAATTTCTTGGGGAGAGGCCTATTCAGTGTCTCCACTGTTTTCAGTTTAGCTCACCCCTATTGGAGTGTGGAAGCACTGTCTGCAACAATTTGGTTAACCTCAATTTGTGTGATGCTGTGGGTTACTAGACTGGACTGCAAAGTCGGTTTGAACTGCAAGGTCAATGGTTCAAGCTCGCCAGTTGCTCCTTGGAAACCCTGTACAGGGTTGCTATGGGTTGGAACCTACTTGACAGCACGTAACAACAACAACAACAACAAAACTTCCAGGACATGAGGTAGTGTGGAGGAGCTTCTACATACGTTACCAAGTTTAGTCCTTACAATAAGTGTATAGAGGAAGATCTTATCGTTCCTGGTTCACAGATGAAGTCTCTGAGTGTAAACACAGATCACTTACTCAGCTTCTAACTAAAAGGTTGGCAGTTCAAGGTCTTCCAGAGGCAACTCAATAGAAGAAGAAGGCCCGGTGATCTTCTGAAAATTCAGTCACTGAAAACCCTACGGAGCATAGTTCTATTCTGACACACACGGGGTCACCGTGAGTCAGAATGGATTCTACGGCAACTGTTTTCTTAAACTGTGGCTTATTGAAGAGATGGCAAGATGATTATAATTTGAAAAAGCTGAGACTCAAGCACTAGTCACCTGTCTCCTGAAGCCATGCTTATTATATAGCATCTCAGCTACTTTCCAAGAAGATATAAACTTCAAAAAACTGACTCCAGAGCAGTAACTTCTAACCCTCTAAACAAAATCTCTCCCCTGTTAATAATAGCTAATTTCAATGTAGTTAACTTTCAAAGTCAGCAGAGACCACATTTTACAGAAGGCATTTTAACTAATATAGTTTGTAGGTTATTAATGCAATAACAGAGTATATTTGAAATAATATAACTGTTCTCCACCTAGTGGTTTGCTTATAGTTTGTATTTATATCTAAATGGTTATTGAGAAAAATAATGCAGTTGTGAGTTTTAAAATTAAAAGCAAATTCTTACTGAGCATTCACGCTACACTAGATATTGACTAAGCACTTTACTTGCATTTTCCCATTTAATTTTTACAACCCTAGGAGATATACACTATTTTTTACCTCCATTTTATAGATGAGGAAACTGAAGGCAAAAAGAGATCAAGATCAAGTAACTTGCCCATGGTCACACAGGGTAATGAATAGGAAGGAGATTTGAACTCTGGGACTGACTTCAGAGCCAGAATCGAAGTCACAATGTTAATACCTCTTTGAAAAAACAATGATAGCTTATGGCTAACCTTAAGGAACAAACATCAGTATGTTGTAGAGAACTTTATAGAAATACATTTTGGGAATGAGAACAAACCTGTCAGTCTGGTGGGCTGACCCTGACCTTGGTCAGGCTCTATTGGCCTGATGTACTGATGTTACATTTGGAATACTCAAATCAAGAAGGGAAGGGCCAAACTGGTTCAGCATATGAACAAGAGCCTACAGGACGTCATACCTGTCACCGAGTGCCACTGTCCATCACACAGAGACCGCTTTGGTGTGACTGATGTAGAGATTCCTCCTGCCCCACTGTCCACAGAGGCTGTGACCTGAAACAAACAAGCATTTTCCTATTTCCTCCGCTATCTTCCCTTTCCAGCTCATGCCACTTGACAACCAAGGACTGTGTTAAAGAATGGTTCCCACTCTTGCATCAGGTGTCCCTGGGTGGTGCACATGATCAATGTGTTCAGGTGCTTGGAGGCTTAAGTCCACCTAGAGGTGCTGAAAAGAAAGGTCTGGAGATCTACTTCCAAAAAACCAGCCATTGGAAATCCTATGGAGTGTAGGTCTACTCAGACCCTGACTGGGTCTCCATGAGTTGGCACTGACTTGGTGGCAAGTGGTTTCCCCCCACCACCACCAGGTGACCTCATGGGAGTCCAATGTTTTGGAAGAATCCCTCTGCCGTATTCCTTCAAGGCAAGCAAGCTGCTAACCCAGGACCTGCTTAAAGCTGCTGCCAATGGCAAAGTTATGCATTCCCACTAGTGCAAACCTCACCCCTCAGATTCTGCTCAAAGGTGACCAATTAACATTAAGAAGCCTCCTTAGCAAATAATATCAGACAGGAACTCTGTTCAGAAGGATCTGTGAAATTGAGAAGGTAAAAATTCTGACTGAGGTCTACACCAGGCTTCTGCCAGGGCCACTCAATCATAATTCAGGAAATGCATTCATTATTTGTCAAGAGGGTCTCATCTACAAAGTTAAAAACGCTAACTGACTGCATTTGTACTGGGCATGTCAGAGGTCAGGCACTCAGCATGCTACTATGCATCATCCTCCCCCAACTCCATGCTCTAGGTCAGGACCTCCTCCATGATAGTCCCAGGACTGGCTGAAGGTGAGTGAAATGAGAGGACTCAAATAAGCACGTCTATATATAGTTGACATTTAATTTGCATGTAGCTAGACTGTGCAGTCTGTTCTCTGGGAGTTTTCCAGCAAAACAATGTCTCTGCAGCTATGCATGTCAGCAGGTCTTCTGTTTGTTTTGGGATGATTTCCTATCCACAGACTCTCACTGGAGATCCTTGCTACCTGTTTCTTGGAAAAGTTGGCCTGGCCTCAACTGCCCAGCTAACAGATAGTTGATTGCATCTCTGGGTTACCAGAAACCAGCTCAAACTTCATGGCTACAACGTGAATAGCAAATGGTCAATGAGTTTGGTTATCTTACTTTCCTCTGGGATTTTCCCCACACCTATTTAGTAAATGGTAGAAAGACAGCAGTGAAAGATGCATATGGTCAATGTTTGAGCCCATTAGTAAAAGAGACTTTCTGAAAGAATTTGGATTTAAAAAGACCTTTTTTTTTTTGAGGACACTGGGTAGTGAAAAATCAGATACTGACTCAGTGACAGGAAGGATAAAGCAGCAGAAGCATGTATGGAAACCCAGTGGCTGGTATCCTGCAGAGGCTAGAAAGGCTGATGTGTTATGTAGAGAGAATAAGGGGAATCTGAAATCTACGTCAGTGGGCCACAGGCATAGGTGTGATGTGGTGTAGACAACTACTGAGAAAACCCAGATTATCACTTCTGGAACTGGCCTTATACATCAAGGAAGTGATGTGGTGACTGTGAAGGGGAGGAGGAGATGTTACATTAGCTGAGTATATGTCACTTTCTAGAACTTTGACAAAAGTTCTGGGATGTGAGACTTGTTATCCACATTGTACAGATAAGGACAGTGAGGCTGGAAGAGGTTAAGGAGCTTACCTAAGGCCATAGAACTATGGTGGAGCTGGAATTCAACCCAGTTGGCTTGGGCTTTCCCAGTTTTAAAGAAAAATGACATGATGTTTGTTGTTGCACTGAGGGGACTGCAATCATTGAGATGAAACAAAGCGTATAGTTTGTTGAATGTAAAATTGACGATCTTGTCTGTAAACCTTCACTCAATTCACAATGAACTGATGATAAAATTACTTGTTAAATAAATGGCATATTAGCCCTGGAATCCATTTTCTATTCTTACATCACCAACTGTGATCTCTAAAAATGGCATCATGCTCTGATGTGAACCCACGGCCTTCCCATTCTGTTCAAAGGCTACGTACCTTTCCTGCCTCCAGATAAACATATAAATGCCTCTCCTGGTGATGGCCAATGTGTATTAGGATCCCAGTGAGACTTCTCGGGCGAATGCTGAAAACAAGCTTAAATTCTGGACCCAACGATACAGCATTATCTTGAAAAAGATTTAAAAAGGAAAGGTTAAAATTCAAGAAAAAGGATGGAGATTTTAAGATGCAAGGACAAACTTGACCAAATGGATTCTTACCAAGTATGACATGGCCTCCTCCTTGGGAGAAATAAACGCCTTTCTCTGAAGAATCCCCCAAGCAGGGAGACACCCCAAAGCTTGTGGAGGGAGTATCCAAGTGTTTTAAATTCAACTGAAAGTTCGCCAGGCATCCCACAAAGCTGTTCTGGGGAAGGCTCTACAATCAAGCAGAAGAGAAAACAAAGTTCATTACCCACAGCTCTCAACAATGAATGGACAGCCAAGGTAAAGGCAGCTTATTGATAAAGGGGAAGTGAGGTCCATCCTTCCTGTTTCAAAGAGTCAGGGGGCCTGTTTCATTTGGCTCTCTATCCAGAGCACCAAGAAAAAAAATGGGATACCAGATGTCTGGTTGGTACCTACAGTTCAAAGGTGGCACCAATCCAAGAGGCGTGTATGTAGGGGTAGGGGGTAGGGGGAGGTGGCAGTTGCTATCTAGTGCTGGAACAATAAGAGGGAAGCTGGCCTGACCCTGATACCACAGAAAGATTTGCATCAAGAGGAAATTTCCACTCTACAGCTTCACCATTTCTTTGCAGGTACAAACCACCTCTTAGGGCTTCCTAAGCTGGGGTGATAGCTTAATGTAAGGCAGCTGACTGGCTAAAGAGGCTAAAAGGTTCCAAAAATAATAGAGTGTAAAAGACTCTCTATATTGTTGGTCTCAGTGCACCACCAACAAATCATGAGTGCCACAGAGTTAAAAACAAGACACAGAGTTCATCTTCAGTGGGCTTCATGGAGCTCAGGCCTGCCTGATGCTGGTCTGAAACAGGGTTCCTCCACTGAGGCCTAGGGACAGCTTCTGTGAGCCGTTAAATCATATGCCACATGTTCTCTGCATGGGCATGTTCTTTCTTTTTTTAAAGTTTGTACTGTGAATTGAGTGATAATTTATGGGAGAACATCGGCTTTACTCATTGCTTCCTTACAATGATTACAATGCCCTCTGTGCATCATCATTCAACAGTATTTGCTTCTATTCCCTCTGTGTTTTGGTACGAGGGGAGCACATATACATTTTTCTGGAGAGAAGGATCGTAGCTTACTTCAGACTCTCAAAAATGTTGAGAATCATGGAACAGAATATCCCAACTCCCTTCTAGAAGAAATGCTTTTGTTGATTGTTGTTAAGTGCTGTAGAGTCGGTTCCAACCTATAGAGACCTTATATAGGGTTTCCAAGGAGCAACTGGTGAGCTTGAACTACTGACCGTGAAGTTCAAACGACTCTACAGTCCAGCGCATCAGCCCACAGCGCCATACCTGGACCCCTATATGTATGTTGTTGTAGTTGTTAAGTGCTGACAAGTCGATTCCGACCCATAGTAACCCTGTATAGGGTTTCCAAAGAGGAGCTGGAACCATGCAGTTCAACCACCGACCATGCAGTTCAAACGGCTTTGCAGTCTGGCGCATTAATCCACAGCACCACACTAGGAACTATTAAATGAGAACCTAGTTTGCTATATAAAATTTTTTTCCAAAATCACCATAAAATATTTTTTAAAAACCAAAAATGTCATTGAATGTATTTTGCAATTCTTGAACATGCTATGTCATTACAGTGATAACAGGCAGTCCCTGGGTACAAATGAGGATGGGACAGGCACACACAGTTCCTATTGAACCTCACATGAGTCTGTCTGCGCCCATGAAGATTTACTCCTGAGCAGTGGGTCTGGTAGTAAAAGAAAAGGTTCAAAGATTTAAAAGCTGCATGCACAGCAAATGAAGGGGATTGTGACCAGGGATTTGTTGTTAATAGGGATTGGTTCAACCTTTTCAAAGTGAGGACAAACTTAGACAACGTTAAAGGAAAAGTAGAAGTTGTCTCTGTGATAGATGTTCATAACCTGGCGACTGTCTGCATATTTGAATGGGAACTGCTTTTATCAATGGCTCTTAAGTGTAACTCTGTACCTTTGGTTTCTCTGATGGAGAAGATCCCAGGTAAACTGATATTCCGATGCTGAAGGTGGAATTTCCAAACAAACTTCCTTCTCGGGCCCTCAGACCATCCACAACCAAGCGTCCCGTTTTTCCATCTTGCCCAAACACCACCTAAAGAGTGAAGAAAAAAATGTTGATTCCAAATTTACTCTTGAAAATTAGTGTGGTATTTTATTAGCGGTCACAGGAAATTAAAAAAAAAAAAAGTTTTACTCTTCCCTCAAATAGCTTTTGCCATCATCATTTCCTTAGATATTGAAAAATGTGACCTAAAAAAATTGCTTACCTGTTGTTCAAAAATAAATTAATACTAAAATATAATTATATATGATGGAAACTTACACCAAATACAACGAAATGAAAGGCCAGAGGCCTGCATAGAAAGAACACCACATAATAAAGTGTGAAGGATGGTCTGTGTTGAGGGAGAGGTTGCAAGGCACTCTCTCCCTGATCAGGGCTACTAAGGTGTTTCTTTTTTAACAAGAAGATCTCAACTTTGCTATCAGATGGTTATGAGACTATTCATTGTCCCCCAAATGTATATGCCATTCTGCCACCTCTACCCTCTACTATCTACTGACTTGTAGGGCTGAATGTCTAGTAGGTACCTAACTCCACCTTAACAAGTTTTCATCAGCACTCCTACCTTCCCCAGCAATAAAATGCTCTTTCCTGACCCCACCCACCACCCCCTCTCTATCTTCTCCATCTCAGTAACAGCCCAACCATTGGCCCAGTTACTGCTCTGAAATCACAGGACATGATCTTGATGCCTCTGTGTCTTTCACACTCCAATCCAACAGCAAGCCCCTTGGTTCTACCTTCAGAACCTATTCCAGAGGGCCCACTTTTCTCCATCCTCACCATGGCCTCACTAAGCCAAGGCAATAATATCCACTGGTCTCCCTGTCAGGGACAGGTTAGGACCCCTTTGCCCTTACTCCTCTCCTACTAAACAGGGATCAAGGAAGGGGGAGAGGACATCTCTAATCCAACAAGAATAGTAATATTGAGAAGAACAGCCTGGAAACAAAGATATTAGGAGCTGAAACCCTAATAGAAGTAACAGGCCACGGGCAGACAACCTATGCAGATAACACGTAGCGCTGACAAATGCAGAAGGCACCCCATTTCCAAAAAGTCTCCGCCTCTTTACTAAAAAACAATAAATATTCAACATACCATTCCTTCTAATCAATATGTTTTAGCCTACCCTTAAAGGAAGAGACCCCATACCTTTACAAGCCAGTGCACCCCAACCCCAAAGGGTCTTCTCCACTCACAGAGACAGACCCGCTTCTCTCTCTGAAGCGTACTTTTGCTATGCAATAAACAGGTTCTAAGTGAACACATATTTGTGTGTGACTGAGAAGGGGCAACTCAGTGGGACGAACTCTTTAGACCCCGAGAGCGAGAGGGACCAGGGAAAAAAGTGACATTCCCACCACCCCTCTCACACCCTTCTAGTCCCTTCTTTTAGTGGGAATTTAAAGGATACAAATCTGTTCAGCAACTCTCCTATTTAAGACTGTGGCTCTGTACCCGAAAGTTGTTTTGAACTACGACGTAAGCACAAACTCAACAGTTGCTCTTCAGAAACCCTATATGGGGTTACTGTGAGTCATAACTGACTCGACGGCACTTACAAATACAACAACAAAGACTAAAGTGGAGGGTCAGTGAAAAGGAGCAAGACCCTCAATGAGATGGATTGACACTATGTTCCCACAATTCGCTCAAGCATAGTGAGCAATGATCATGAGGGTGGCAGGACTGGGCAGTGTTTCCTTGTGTTGTATACAGGGTGGCTATGGGCCGGAAGCTACTCAATGGCACCTAACACCAACAACACAGGCTCCAGGGGCATTCAGAATGAAACCCCAAATCCTTAGCTTGGCCTTCAAGCCTTAAACGATCTAGGCCCTGTGTCTTTACTGTCACGTCTTCCTCTTTTCTATTTGGTTCACTTCCCATAACTCTGTATGACTGTTGCTTCTTGCAAGAGACCTTCCTAGACTACCCTATCAAAAATGATCTCTAGTATTGCCTTACCATGTTGTTTTTTTTTACAAAATCTTTACCAGTTATACTGAATATTTTTTGTTTTATGCTCTAGGAAGGCACATAAATTACACATTATTGAACAACTGCATGCAACTTTGTTGTTGTTGTTAAGTGCTGTCGAATCAGTTATGACTCATAGCAACCTTATAAAGGGTTTCTGAGGTATGTATGAACAGCTGACCTTGTGGTTCACAGTCCAGTGCTGATCCTACAGCGCCACACTAGGAGTCCAGGCCACTTAAATTTTTTCTGAGGTTCACATTTCTCATCAGAAAAAAGTATATAGCTAGGTTCCTTCTTGCCTTAAACTGTGTTTCTTTACATCTAGATGCCTTTAGGCATGAGTTGAGATGCTAGAAACGAGGGCTTTTAAGCTTGTGCTTTGGGGAGGCTTGGAAATAGGTCCTGGAGGAGAGAAACTGTTCTGGAAGCAGCGTGGGAATAGACAAAGGGGGCCAGGCAGCCCAGGGGACCCAGGGGGAAACAGGAAGTAAAGACCATCTTGGCATTAGGACAACATGTGCTGGAACAACCCATGGTGTGGGTAGCAGGTGGAATTGTTGGTGGGCTCAGCACTTCCAGCCCCCTGGCTACTCCCAGTAATTGCACCTTTGTGCCTGGGAAGAATGCTCCTCTTTCCAGTGACCCAAACACTGAATGAATCTGCACCCCTGGAGGTCCCCTGGAGACCCCAGTGCAGCCTGAGCTCTCACCGTGTGCCACTTGCCATCATTGCATTTCTCTTTGCTTTTCAGTTTCAGTTTCTTCCCTTGTGTTCCTAATGCGAACACCAGGCGTCCTTTTGAAAGATACAGAGCCATAAAGGAGTTCTTGGTCCCCGTGTAGAACACGAGCCCTCTGGACGATGTCGTCTGCACATCCACAGAAAACTGTGACCTGGGAGGAAGAGAGAGTCAAAGGAAAGAAGGAAAATAAAGGGTTTTCAGTGTTTCTCTGACTCTGAGAGCTGGGTGAGCAGCGAGCAGGCACTAAAGCCCTTGTTTTACACACGCATAAACTGAGGCAGGTACTGTCTGCAAGGCTTGTTTCCTTGGCAATGTTTAAAAGCCATTATATTCCAGCAGTTAAAATGTTTGTTTCATTTCCTTCTTGCTTTAGGGCATACTGAAGAACTTCTGTGGCAGAATTTAGCTATTGGTGTCAGTCCTAGCACCTGGTAAGAAGAAACATTCCTGTACTTTTTAAGTCCAATGCATGTAAAATATACATTTTTTTTTTTTAATGCATTTTATGGAGAGGGAAGATTTGAGGGGAGGTGGAAGGACAACTTGAACAGGTTGTCTTATTGAATTTAAATCAATCCCTATTAATTTAAGCATTGATAATGCTTGTTGTTATTGAGTGCCATCCAGTAGGTTCTGACCTATAGCAACCCTGTATAGGGTTTCTTCTATAGGACACATTTAATGCAAAGACACCAAATACACTTCACTTTTTCCCATGTGTTTTTATACCTGCTGTTGTTGTTAAGTGCTGTAGAGTCAGTTCTGACTTATAGCAACCCTGTATAGGGTTTCTGACGAGCGATTAGTAGCTCAAACTGACCTTGCAGTCAGTTTGCACTTTATCCTGCAGTGTCACACCAGGACTCCTATCCCCCTAATATATTCCACCTATGATGGAACAGGACCAAGTAGGAAAAGTAGTAGATGGAAGCTAACATACACTTGTATGATGGTTATACATCACAGGCAAACACACTTAGTTTTCAATGAATCACCCCCAACTTTTGGTGACCCAGGCACAATGGGATTGGACCATTGTGATCCAGAGGGTTTTCCCTGGCTGATTTTTGGGAGTAGATGACCAGGTCTTTCTTCCTAGTCTATCTTCATCTGGAAGTTCTGCTGAAACCTGCTCAGTATCACAGCAACATGCAAACCTCCACTGATACATAGGTAGTAGTTGTGGACGAGGTGCCCTGGTTGGTGATCAAACCTGCTTTTCCCAAATGGAAGCCAGGCTTCTACCACTGAACTACCTTCTGTGAAAATTCACATCCATCCATCCATATACTCATTCGACAATTGACAAATATTTAATGAGTGTGTACTATATACAAGGCACAGTTCTGGGCATTGGGGATTCAGTGGTGGACACTTCATGTCTTGAGGTATTTGTGGCTTACAGATGCACTGAGAGGTATGGAAAGGCATGAAAAAGATGTGGGTACCAATAAGCCCCCATCAGATGCTCATGTTTCATGTCTAACTGCACAGTAGGCAGGGCCCTGATTAGAGCTATTCCCGCAGTGCCTAATACATAAGAGGCACTCAATAAGTAATTACTGAACTGAATGGTAAATGGAATATATGGAGATAGAATCTAGACATGGAGGGGGATGTGCAGAGCTCATTCTCCTTGCTTTTCTAACATTGAGAGGCTGCACGAACACCGAAATACACACTTATTCTTTAGATTAGCAAGATTCCTTGAGGGCAATGTTCTTCAAAATGAGAGAGAAATCTATATTTGTTCAATTAAACCAAGCAGATGGCGACCAAGCTCAATTATTTCCCCCTGGTATTTCTGTGTGCCAGTGTGGAGATTTGGAGAACTCAAGTTGGCCAATTAGAGCTTGCTATGGAATTAAAGCACTCTACATATGTGGGCTTGATTATCAGATGTGACATTTGCTTTGCAGGAGAAGTTGCTTAAAGCAACTTCTGGAAAAGACTAACACCCCAAAAAGACATCAGTAGATTCAAATCAAGAGTGCATAATGATGCTGTAATTGTGACTCTTTATTGTTGGGAGGTTGGGAGAGTAAGGCAGACAGCCAGAATAGTACTTCAATGTATATATCAAAGGGTTGAAATACTGGTAAATATTTTAAAGGAGAGTTTTGAAAAAGAGCTAGAACATGTATCAGAATGAGAACAGTGGGTAAGGAAATCTCAAATCTGACAGCTGCGATATTTGGAAGTAACAGAATTTAAAAACTGTATTTACTGATGCCTTTTTTCCTATGTCACTTGTGGTTTCAAAATGTTGCTTTAAAAATTATTACATATAACTTCTTGTTGAAAGGAAAGATAGTAGAGTTGAATCATCAGAAAAAGGCCAAATAATTCATTACATTGAATAAACTGTGAGAGAAATGAAAAAAAGAAAAGAGCTGGGGAGGGGGAAATATGGGGAGGACAAAGTTGGTGGAGAAGTGGAGCAAGTGGGGAGAGGAGATGAAGGGATGAGGGGAGTGAAGGTAGGGAATCGGGGAGTAGAAAGGTGTGGGGAGAAGGCCAGAGCTCCGAGAGAAGATGGGGAATGAGCAGTTGGGGAATTTATAAGAAGAGATTGTTGTCGTAAAGGTCAGCTTGATCTGTGATGAGAGTCCCAGGCTTATGCAGACTGTTAATACAACTGAAAGGCTGGGAGTCTGAGTCCAATCAGAGGTAGCTTGAAAGAAAGGCCTAGTGATCTACTTCCGAAAAATCAGCCATTGAAAATCCCATGGAGCACAGTTCTACTCTGACACGCGTGTAGTTGCCTTGAGTTAGAATCAACTCAATGACAACTGGTTAACTGACTGGAGTTGGTGCCTCCCTATGCAGGAATAAGTAAGGAAGATGCTGGTAATAGAGGGACAACCACTCTTTGCCTCTCCACTTTACTTTTCCACTAGAACAGTTTTTGCAAATCAGGGATCCTGACACATTCTGAGGGTCGACTGGAAACATGAAGTTGCACAGACTTTCTCTTGTAGAACACAGGACCCTTTCCCTGTCCTCTCATCTGTTTGGAAATCACACACAGGGCTCACCAAGGAGCCACCACTACCAGCTTCTCTACAAGCCAGAATGTCTCCTCCCTTTAAGGAAAGCCTTATCAATCCTGTTTTACTGATGAGAAAACTGAAGATCCAATTTAACAACTTGAGCTGTTGCAGCAAGTTGACTTATGTTATAGAGTGGAATTGTTCCATAGACTTTTCTTGCCTGTGTTCTTTATGTAATCTTTATATCATCAGGCTTTCCTTCAGCGATAACTCTGGGTGGGTTTGAACTGCGAACCTTTAGGTTAATAGTCCAACACAAACGATTTGTGCCAGCTAAGAACTTCGAGATACGTATTATTGTTGTACGTGCTGTTGACTTGATTTTTAACTCATAGCAATCCTATGTGACAAAGTAGGATTACTCCATAGGGCTAAGAGTGGCTGCAATTGTCATGGGTCTTTCTGAAAAGGGGATGCTGGGGGATATTGTTAGGTGCTGTCTACTTGGTACCAACTCATAGCGACCTTATGCACAACAGAATGAAATACTGCCTGGGCCTGCTTCAACCTCACAATCATTGCTACACTTGAGACCACTGCTGCTGACACTGTGCCAATCCATCTCGTTGGGGGGCTTCCTCTTTTCCACTGACCCTCCACTTTACCTAGCATGATATCCTTCTCCAACGACTGGTTTCTTCTGATAATCTGTCCAAAGTATGAGGAATGAAGTCTTGTCATCCTGGCTTCTAAGGAGCATTCTGGCTGTACTTCTTCCAACACAGATTTGTTTGTTGTTCTGGCAGCCCATGGTTACTTTTAATATTTCCTTCCAACACCACAACTCCAATGCATCAATTCTTCTACAGTCTTCCCTGTTCATTATCCAACTTTCACATGTATATAAGACTATTGAAAATACTGTGGTTGGGATCAGGTACACCTTAGTCCTCAAACTGATATCTTTACTATTGAACACTTTAAAGAAGTCTTGTGCTACAGATTTGTCTAATGTGATACGTTACTTAATTTCTTGACTGTTGCTTTCATGAGTTTTGATGGTTGATCCAAGCAAAATGAAGTCTTTGACAACTTTAATTCTTTTCTCCATTGATAAGAATGTTGTTTACTGGTCCTGTGGTGAGGATTTTTGTTTTCTTTATATTAAGATGCAATCCATATCAAAGGCTGTGGACTTTGATCTTCATCAGTGAGTATTTTAAGTCCTCTTCACTTTTACAAGCAAAGCTGTATCATCAGCATATCACAGGCTGTTAATGAGTCTTCCTCCAATCCTGATGTCCCGTTTTTCTTCATATAATCTATTTGCTCAGCACACAGATTAAATAAATATGGTGAAAGAATACAGCCCTGGTACACACCTTTCCTGACTTTAAACCATTTGGTGTCCCCTTGTTCTGTTTGAAAGACTGTCTTTTGATTTATGTACCGGTTCTTCATGAGCACAATTAAGTGTCCTGAATATTCAGTCTCCACAATGCTGCCCATAGCTTGTTATGATCTACACAATCAAAAGCCTTTGCGTAGTCAATAAAACACAGGTAAACATCTTTCTGGCATCTGCTTTCAGCCAAGATTCATTTTACATCAACAATGATATCCTTCATTCTAAGTCTCCTTCTGAATGCAGCCGGAACCTCTGGAAGCTCCCTGTCAATGTACTGTTGCAGCCATTTTAGCAAACTTTTACTTGCTTGTTGCTAGATGTCATAAAACTGGTTCTGACTCATAGTGGTCCGATGTACAACAGGACACAGACTGGCCAGGTCCTGTGCCACCCTCACAATTGGCATGGTTGAACCATTGTTGTAGCCACTGAGTCAATCCATTCTGTCAAGGGGCTTCCTTTTTTCCCTCTAATCTTCTAGTCTACCAACCATGATGTCCTTCTCCGGGGACTAGGGTACATGAGACAAAGCATTACCATCTTTGTCTTTGAGAAACATTATGGCTGCACTTTTTCTAAGATTTATTCATTCTTCTGGTTGTTGTTATTGTTGTTATGTGCTGTCAAGTCAGCTCTAACTCACAGTGACCCTTATAAGGGTTTCCGAGGAGCGTCTGGTGAATTTGAACCACCAACCTTGCAGCTTAAACTGACCTTGCGGACCAGTACATTATCCCACAGTGCCAAAGGTAGTCCAAGATATAGTCAATATTCTTTGTCAACATCATAATTGAAATGTATCAATTCCTCTCTGGTCTTCCGTAGTCATTGTCCAGCATGCATACGAGGCAATAGAAAATACCATGGCTTGGATCAGGAGAATCTTATCCTTAAAGTGACATCTTTGCTTTCTGACACTTTAAAGAGGTCTTTGCAGTAGATTTGCCCATTGCAATCATTTGATTGCTTGACTTCTGGTCCCATATTTGTTGGCTATGGCTTCAAGTAAAATGAAATCCTTGACAACCTCAACCTTATTGGTCCAGTTGTGAGGATTTTTGTTTTCTTTATGTTGTGTTGTAATCTATACTGAAGGCTGTAGTCTTGGATATTCATCAATAAGTGCTTCAAGTCTTCTTGGCTTTTAGCAAGCATGGTGTGTTATTTGCATATTTCAAGTTGTTAATGAATCTTCCTCCAATCTTGAAGCTGCATTCTTGTTCATATAGTTCATTTTCTTGGATTATTTGCTCAGCATACAGGTTGAACAAGTATGGTGAAAGATAAAACCCTGACTCACACCTGATTTTAAACCACTCAGCATCCCCTTGTCCTGTTTGAACAATTGCCTCTTGATCTATGTACAGGTTTTGTAGGAGCACAATTAAATGTTCTGGAATTCCCATTCTTTCCAATGTTATCCGTAGTTTGTTATGGTCCACAAAGTTGAATGCCTTTCCAAAGTCAGTAAAATGCAGGTAAACATCTTCCTGGTATTTTTGTTTTCAGCCAAAATCAACTGACATCAGCAGTGATATCCCTTGTTCCAATTCTTCTGAACCCAGTTTGAATTTCTGGCAGTTCCCAGTTGCTGCAACTGTATTTGAATGATCTTATTTGTTGTGTGCTGCAGGGAAAGTATAATGCCCCCAAGTAAATAGAGAGTTAAGTGGAGGCTTGTTGTTAAGTGCTGCTGAGTTGGTTCCGACTCATCATGACCCTGGGGTGGCAGGTGAGATTGAACCACAGACCCTGGAGGCTTAGGAAGTTTAAATAGCAGACTAGGCAGCCATGGAGTTGTACCATGCAAGGGTCATGTCAAGAAGACCTGCGGTGGGGGCACCACTGACTGGCAGTTTTCCATGCCACGGGGTCAAAAGAGGCACTTGATGAAACCTCGCATCTGCTCCCAGCCAAGAACTGAGCATGACAGAGATACTAGAGCAATGCCATTTAGGCTAGACCCTGGACTCTTCTAAAGGGTGATTTCATTTGGGGATGGCCCTTCAGCTGGGCAGGACTTCATCTTAGCTGTACTTTGATCTTGACTCTTCCTGTTCCATCTTTGTTCCTTCCCCTTTCCATGCACAAATATCAGACTAGCATGGCAAGCCTGCAGGCTCTCCCCACCTACTCCTGCTCCCCATTAGATCTTTCCCCCAATAAACTGCTTGCCCACCTTGGCATCTGTACCTTAGAGGATGTAAACCAGCAAATGGCAGGAGGTCACATAGCCAGAAAGCTGAGATTTAATAAGTTAGGTCTTAACGCCAGGTCTTTTGCCTTCTGAGCAGTTCTGGCTCTCTGTAGACTAGTCACAAAGAAATTTTTGGCACCTTTTCATTTATGTCTCCTTCAAATCACTTGAATATGACAAATTTCCCCTGACATATTTCTACCTATTCCTTCTCCCTCAAAAGAGATGTAACTTTTTAGCTTAGAATGTCCAAATTCTCTAAACATTTGATTCTGAGTTTGTGTAAAAGGATGACTTGCTTTTGACTATTAAATGCAGGAGAAGAAAGGTGATTTGTCATGGAAATAGCAGCTTTGGAAAGAAATCACAGCTTTATTTTTAGAACACTGCCAATTCTAAACTGGAGCTAATTGTTCCAGCCGCTGAGTAGTGTGTTCCAACCATGGGGGCTGGAGGGGAAGGAGCATGTGCAGACAATCATGCTACCTGTCCTTTGCAGACTGACATTTCTTTTACCAAGAATGGCAGTGCCACCTTCACTGGTGAGGTCATGCTGGTCAGCCTTCCCTGAGGAAGGATCAGAGTCAGGCTCTGAGTTGGTTGGTGCTGGAGATGTTAATGAGACTATACCTGGGTTTCAGCAGCTCCTGTGGAAGTGTGAATGTCAAGTGGCTGGTAGGACTGTCCCCAAACCAAAGAGCTCCATGACTGGCCTGGGCCTGGGGAGGTAGCTGGCAAGACTGTGCATCTCTCCACACCTCCGTGCTCCTCAGGGAGGCCACAGGTGTGTCCTGCAATGGCTGCGTGGGAGACAAGCAAAGTGTTAGGTTAGTGAGTTATCAGGAGAAAGGAGAATAATGCTTGTCTTGCTAACTACCTTGAATCCTTCATCCTCAGAGATGAATTCAATAGAGAAATCAAGGACCAGGCTCACTGTTGAGGACCTTTGGAGAGTATGCTCCTAACGCCTTCAGCCACTGGATCCTCCTAATTCCCCATAATGCTCTCTTGTGGCTCTGACATAGGGTGTCTTGCCACTTGTTGCTGTTGTTAAGTGCCGCCGAGTCGGTTCCGACTCAAAGAGAACTTTTATAGGGTTTCCGAGGTGTGGCTGGGTTTGAGCCACTGACCTTTTGGTTAGCAATCCAGTGTTTATCCTACATCACCACACCAGGACTTCATCCTGCCACTAAGAAGGTATGAAGCAAGGCCGAAAAGGAGAGTGTGTCATTTTGGTGGTGGTGGTGGTGGTATGCGGGGGAACTAAGCTTATGGGAGTTTAAAACCCCTTCCTTCCTTCCTCTTTAAGGAGGATATACGTTGTTCCCATCCTACACAACTCTGGTCTCTTTTCTAAAGGTTGAAAATAGGACCAGCATACACCCAGAGCCCCAGTCCACCTGAGCATCAAAAGAGGGCCAGCATTTGGCCTGCAGCACCAAGACTTACACAGCCAGCTAAGGGGCTGAAGCCCTTCCCCTTTCTCCCCCTCGTGGCCATTCCTTTGGGCACACTTGTGAGAGGTGAGAGGATGACGAAGGTGGGAGCAGGAAACAGAAACGGGGTAAACCACAGCCTTCTTTGCTTTTATCTGTGTTGCAAACCACAGCACATATGATACGTCCTGATCTGGGCAATGCTTTAAATAGCGCTGCATTTTCATGCAGAAAAATGACCATCATAAATGCCAAAGGTGACAAGAAAATTTGTTGGAAGAAACTGAGATTCACAGCCCCTCACCCTTCTCTCTGCTGCAGAGCATCTCAGCCACTCCTGTAGGGCTCAGAGCTCAGCAGGCCTCCATTAGGCAAAGCTTAGAGCAGCGATTTCCCTGCCAGGGACTGGTTTCAGAATGAACATATAACCTAATTCTGGCCAATGAGCCTCAAGGGGAAGTTTGGGGGTGGGGCTTGTGATAAATATTTTCTTACTAAAAGAGAAAGGGGGGGGAGCGAAATAAACTGGCAGAATGATTGCAGCCTTTACTGAATGTTGTCCAGCGAAGGGATGTTGCCTGCAGGGATTTGAACTGATGGCTGTCGTAACAAGGGCCATATATGCACTGCTTAGCAATGAGATCTGTTGCCGTGATACTCGATCCAGTAGGAAACAAAAGAGCCTTCCCGGGTTCTAAGATGGTGGCTGACTGTGCTACTTCGCCATAATGCTCGACCCAAAATTCCTGCCACAGTCCTTCCTCCTGAAAGCTTCAGGGGCCTGATGCAGGGTATTGGATTGTTGGCAGGGGTCTGGAGAACAACACACATTCAAGTCAGATGAATTTTGAGTGAGGACAGCTGTGTGTTTCCTATATTGTTAGATGACATCAAGTCAGTTCCGACTCATAGCATCCCTACGCACAATGAAATGAACCACAGCCTGCCTCTGCACCATGCTCACAACTGTCATGCACGAGCCCATTTTTGCTGCCGCCATGTCAATCCATCTCTTTGGAAGTTTTCCTCTTTTTTGCTGACCCTCCACTTGATCAAACATGATATCCTTCTCCTGAGACTGGTCCCTTACATTGGAGGAAATTGACTCATAGGGAGGTTAAGTAATTGTTCAAGGTCACTGTTAGGAACGGAATTGTGTCCCTCCACAAAGATTTGTTGACATATTAACTCATGTATCTGCGAATGTAACCTTAGCCCTTATCAGATGTTATCTGTTAAGTTACTGAAATCATATTGGAGTAAAGTAGATCCTAATCGCAACTGAATTGTATTTTACAAAAAAAAGGAGAACAGATACAGGGTCAGGGTTACACAGGGAAGACACCATGTGAAGATGCATCAACAAGCCAAAGAATGCCAAGAGATGCCTGGGGCTACCAGAAGCTGGGAGAAACAAGGAAGGGTCTTCCCTAGAGTCTTCAGAGACAAGAGGGCCTGCCAACACCCTGAATTCAAACTCCCAGCCTCCAGAACTGTGAGGCAATACATTTATATTCTTTAAAGTCACCCACTGTGTGGCATTTGATTATGGCAGCTCTAGGAGGTAAAGACAATCACACAACTAGTAAATGATAACACCCAATTCAAACCCAGGAAGTCTAACCCCAAATCCAGAACTTAACTATTGAGCTACGTGGTCTTCTTGTTGCTACTGAGCATTTGGAAGCAGGATTTATGCCTTATTTTATCTAACCGGGAGGATATTAAATAAGTGTACTCACTGATCTCCCGTATCAATAGTCCCAGTTTTACCCAAGTTCCGAACCCAGCAGAGACACCTGACAGCCTCCCACCAGTTTTATTCCACCTGATGTCCTGCAGACAGCTGTCATTCAGTACGCCACAACTGACTCATCCTCTTCCCCCACAAATGCTTGTCCTTTGAACAGTATCTCCATCCATTCAATAACCATTCTTGTTTATGAATGATATCTCCATCTATTCAATAACCACTCTTGTTTATGAATGGTATCTTCATCCATTTAATGATCCAGACTAGATGTCACAGAATGATTGGAACTCCTGCTTCTCCCTTGCCTCCCACATTGAACTGTTATCAGATTCCTGTATATTCCATCTTCTAAATAGCTCTTGAGTCTATTTCCTTCTCTCCATCACCATCATCACTGTACTGTTAGTCTCCCAGTAACTTTCAGTCTTACAATGAAAAAAAGAATATGTGACTTCATTCCTGAAGGGGCAATTCTAAAGATGTTCTTTTCATAACAGTAAAATGACAACTCTCTAGGATTTATGAAATCGATTTCATCTAAATAGCATAAACCATTTCTCAATATGTGTAATCTGTTCAAAACCCCAAATCACTGTGCAGCAAGTAGTTGATATCAAGTAGAAAGTGTGTTGAACAGATGCTCCTTGCTTTTTTGAATAGTCTGAGTTCAGTGCACCTAAATTTGAATTCCAACTCCATCTTCCACCTGCTTGGGAAAATCACTTATTTTCTGAACTGTGGTCTCCTTCTCAAGAAGATGTGGCTAGTTAGTACTCACAAGGTTATCTGGAGATTTTTAAGAAAATCCACTTAAAGAGTTTAGCCCAATACCTGGTACATCCAAGCTGCTGAATGTTACCCATTAAGCATTAATTCTAACATCAGACCTCAGGCACAGTAAGGAATCCCTTAAGCCCTAACCCTGTGTTTGATTCTAAGTCCTATCCCTATGTTCAATTCATTAAGGTGTTTCCAGTCTTTAAAACAAAGAATTTAATTTCCTCGCCAGTCTCTCTTGGCTTACTCATTAGAATCACCTGGGATTTTCACAAAACACGGAACCCTGGACTCACTCCAAGACTGATTTCACCAGGTGGGAAGGAGCCTGAAAACTGGGATTGTAAATGCGCCCCAGGTGTCTCTCAGGTGCAGCTGAGGCTGAGAAACCCTGGTCCCAACAAGGACAGAACAGATGGGTACTTCTTGTCATAAGAGTTGCATTTAGGCAGAGGAGAAGTCTGAGGAGGAGAAGCAATATGGACCCTCTTTTCTAGAAATTCAGAAGTGTCAAAATAATACACCATTAGCTACATAAGCGAAGTTTTATTTGTCTATGACTGCAAAAACTGTCAAATTTCCATCAAGATCAAAGCAGAAAAGGAAAGCACTTGGAGTCTGTTGATGTCATTCCGTGGGTGTAATTCAGGCCAACAGTCCCGCTTCATGGAGCACTGACCCCTGTCAAATTATGTGATCCACATGTCTCCTCACCCTTTGAGTTCCTCCCCCATCATTTCCCACAAGGCGGCTGTGAGCTCACTCTGGAGAGGAGTAAAACCCAGCATAAGGGCTGGCACCTACCTGGTTGACACTGAGAGTTCTGGCTTTGTTAAACCTCGTGGAACCTTTCAGCAACATTAGAAAAGGTGGTGTTTTTAAACTGCAGTCTCCCAGGGACACATCTCTCTTGGAAGATGGGTGGATCAAATCTAGAACTGCAGGGCTATGTGATAATCTGAAACAAGGACAGAAATGTAAGCTGCTGCCAAACTTTGACACATTGATGAAGATACCTGGGCAGAGAGAGCTCATTTTAAAAAAACACACATTCTTACTGTCACGGTTTCTAGGTAAACGTTCACCTCTTACCTGCACATCTAGAGGAGTTACAATGTTGGTGTAGTCCCTAGAATCCCCAGCTCTCTACCTTGCCAGCAGAGGCTCCAGAAGTTTGTATTGACTTGCCCTGCCAAATTGTGGCAAGGCCAGAATACCATGGCTCTTTCTTTGGAATGGGCATCATATATAAATATGAAAATGAAGTATGCAAAGAAGAGAAACATGAGCACTGGGGATTATAGAATGTTAGCAGCAGGAAACCTCAAAAGACAGTGTATAGGTTGATTTCTTTTACTATGTTTGAGTAGAAAAGTCTCTCTCTGAAATGAGAAAAAGACATCAGTTTGTTCTCTCTCAGGATTGTTGTTGATGCCTTCAGATGGTGGGGAGCTGGTGCCACTTCCCCGCCTATCTTCTCCATCACTGCCCCTTTCTGCTCCAATCAGGAGGCTCCATGTTCAAAGGAGCTGCTTCACCCAACCAGAAGAGGTTTGAGAACTCAACCTGGCCAGGTGTGTGGCGCTCTCACATTGGGAGAGACAACAGACCTCACAGAACCTGAGGCCAGTGAAAGGTCTCTTCTCTAAGAATGGTCATTTTGTATTCCAAAAAGAGAATATCTGGATGAGTTATAAATTTTGCCTTAAAAACAAAAAAATCCGATTCAGCAATGTTAGTAAGATCATTTAACGTTTGCAGGGATGTGCTGGGCTCTCTGTTTGTGAAAGATCATGTTCAATGCTCTGGTGGCTTGATTTCTTAATGTTGTACTGGGTCATGCATTTCTTTGGCTTTGAAAACTGAGGAGAGCTGATTAAATCTAATTGCACAATTTTGATTAAAACAAAATAAAATTTCAGTGTGAATATTTTTAAAGGCCACAATCTGAAAGTTCATTTTAATGAGGCTTTTGCCAAGGTTATGAGCCGCTGCTCTTCCAAAGGGAACCTGTGCCCAGGAGCCTTTTATTGCTTGCTTTTAAATACGTGTGTCTTTCCAGGGTGCTTTGAAAGTTGGTGACATGACACTGTTCAGCATATGTGCACAATCCCTCCAACCAGCGAGCTACCCTCTCAAATCTTAGATAACCTTCCCAGAAAGGATCACCTACCTCTGGACAAAAACGTTGCTAATACAACCCTCAAAGTGACTCCCGCCCAGACGTATAGACTGTGGGGAATTTGAAAATCCTTGTAGCTTTTGGTTATTTTTCAGAGGCTGGTCATCAATTAGAAGCCGGAGTCTGAAAAAGCATGAAAACAAATCAAGGATGAGAACTGCTAGGAAAAAAAAAAATTCCTTATATGTAGTCAGCTAACTATCTTTGACCCAGGGTCAATATCATTTATCTAAAATAACTAGGACTTATTTTTTCAGTATAGAAATATTTTTCATACATTTCCTTTTGCACATCAAATCTTTATTAAAGTATTCTATACTTTAATATACTGGTGTGGCACTGTAGTACCAACACAGGACTGCTAACCACAAGACTGCTGTTCCTTGGAAACCCTATACAGGGTGGCTATGAGTGGGAACTGACATATATACAGAAAGTGCAGATAAAAGTCTGAAACTCTTCATGATTATACTTTTACAAAAATAGGCAGAAGCATAGAGACTAATTATTAGTAGTTACCTGGAGTTGGGGGGAGGGAAGGGTTAAAATGGCAAAGTTTTATTATATATATTTTACCAAATAAAAACATTTTAAAAGAGCTCAGTGAATTTTTACCATGTGAACACACCAACATAACCAACTTCCCTATGCAGAAACAGAGCCTTACCCACACTCCCGGGGGCCTGTTACACTCCTGTTGGGACTCTAACCTCCCTCCTGAATTCTGATACAACATATTCACTAGTCTGTATTTTAACTTTGTATAAATGGAAAAAAAAAATAGGGGATGAAATCTTTTATAAGACTTCTTTCACATACTATTCAGTCTGTGAGGTTCATCCACGTGGTTGTATACAGTTGTAGAACCTTCATAATCTTTGTTGCTTGACTAGAGCATATTGGATCCATCCAACTATTGATTTATTATTTTAATGGGAAAATTGCATAGAACAAAAAGAAGGCCAAGACTTACTAGCAAAATCATGTCAGAATCGAGGACAAAGAGAGGACCAAGAATTCCATGAAATGAAGTAAACTGTTTGTAGCTCTGGCAGAGAGGATTCTACTCACCCAGAGTTGTCGCTTATCACAGACACATAATGCAGCAAACCATCCATGTACGTCTGGGGAGATTTAAAAATGGGGCTGCTGCTATCCCTGGTGCTCAGCTCAATGTGACCTTCTTCCAGAGTGACCTGCAGGCTACTTGTCTGAAATCATCAACACAATTGCATTTAAGGACTGTGCATGTATCAATATGAAATTATGACCAAAACCATACATAAAATTGGTCAAGATGTTTTAACCCAAATGTTTTGATTTTGCCCTCTGACTTAAAGATTTAAAAATATATATATATTTTGACTCCATGTTTATGAATGGAGTCCTGGTGTGGCGCCACAGGATAAAAAGTCGGTTTGAACTATAAGATGGGCAGTTCAAACTCACCAGCTGCTCCTCAGAAATCCTATACAGGGTCGCTATGAGTCCGAACTAACTCCACGGCACTTAAAAACAACAACAATATTTATGAATATAAGGAGCTCTGGTGGCACTGTAGGATAAGCACTGGACTGCTAACCACAAGGTTGACAATTCAAACCCACCAGCCACTCTGAGGGAGAAAGATGAGGCTTTCTGCTCCCATAAAAATTTACAGCTTCAGAAAACCACTACAGGGTTGCTATGAGTTAGAATGGACTCAGTGGTGATGGGTTTTTAGTTTGATTTAAGAATACAGAAATCTCATGCAAATTACTTCAACACAGATGAAACTTTCAAAAATTTTGAACCTACATTCATTGTTGTTGTTGTTGTTAAGTGCCTTCGAGTCGGAGTCGACCCATAGCGACCCTGTACAGGGTTTCCGAGGGTGTTAAGTCCATTTTATTTCTTGATCAACTATATAGGACAGTCAAACGGTTTCAAATGTTTTGTATTTTGACATTTAGTTTACTGAAATTATTTTCATCAGGATCAATGCTTTTCTGAATATATATTTTTAATGAAGATTTGCTTCATCATTTGAGTTTTTTCATGTAAAATTAGAACAATGAGACCAGTCATTATGAATTTTCATTTATGATCATGATCTCAAGGAAGTCTGATTTTTCCCATGTCAAACTCTATAGAGCTAAAATTTGCTAAGATGATTTCATTCTTTCAGCTGATTTTAATATCATTGATTTCTTTTTCTATCAAATACAACTTTTGCAGTTTTCAACAAGAAGTGAGCTTTTAGTCTAATCTTTCAGTGTAAAGCAATTTCTAAAGTATACAGTAACAGTTTTATTTGGGGTTGATTTTTTTTTCTGTTTGCAATATTCACATTAATTATGGATTGCATAAAAGAATGGTTTTATA